ATTTGTAATTTGTTTATCAAGTTCATTTGAATGGAGATAAAAAAAAAGAAACAAACATGAAATTCATTCAAATGGTTCATTCAAATGATTCATCTAAATGGAAAAACGAACAACCCAAAAAAACTGAATGAATCATTTGAATGAATCACATAAATGGATCATTTGAATGAATATTACAAATGGAGAAACGAACAGGCCCCAAATCAATACTTCATACCTCATCTTCTGTTTCCCTGCAACGACATATACCTGCAACAGAAAACAGAAGCCACAGCCTCTGGTCCGTATAACTTGGACGACAACAATGTCCCCTGAACTGTTCACTTGACTTGTGCAGAGATGTCTGCCTTTGAACCTCTTATCTTCGGTGCTCCATATCAAAAACTTGCTGGTGGAACTCAGATCTAAGAGTTGTTTACGTATTATCTGAGCTAAATTTTCTGTGTTAGTGGAAGCAGATTGTTGCATTGCTTTCCTAGCAGATTTGGCTCATTATTAGTTACAATCTCAGCAGAGGATCAGGTAGTTCAATGGATCTTGAGAAACTCCCATTGAGGACGATGAGTAGATATTAGTTGAACCAAAAAGTATCAGCGTTGCTCACTGAGTGTACTTCACGTGAAGAAACTCTAGACGGACTTGAGTACTCCTGCTGCAAAAAATCATGAAAACTTGTATACATGATGGATAACTGCAATCATGTCAAATTCGGGTCTTTTATAGACTTCCAACTTAAAACCAGTTGGTGATTAGTGGATTGGCTCCAACCCTTTATATAGTAGTAGATTAATTCTTATATTTCCGATGTGGGATATTTTCTCATCAATAAATCACTTTCTCCTTTCACTAGTTTTCTGTCAGTTCTGCAAATAATTTTTTTCTTTAAAATTGCAAATCCAGTTGGCGAAAGTGACTAAAAACAGTTAATTATTTGATTAAAAAAACAGTAAACTATTAAAAATCAGGTTTGTGTGTTGACTTCTCTAAATATAAAATACAAATGATTAAGCCAATAAAATTAGTCTTGGTTATAGTTTTATAACTCTCGAGACAGAGTCTACGAATAGTGCCCGATCACCTCTAGCAACCGCATGAGGTATTTTTCGTCTTCTCCGTATATTTACAGCTTTTATATCAGCCAAAAACGGCAAAACGTCCCTTTCTTTATCTTCCCAATTTGTGTTATTAAAAAAGCCGAACCGATCTCTCTGTTTCTACACTGTTCTTTTTTTCTTCTCTGTTTCTGTCTCTTATAACGTTGTGTCATAGGAAGGAGAAGTAGACTGTAAAAGTAAAAGATAGAAAGCTAAAGAGGGCGTGGCTTCTGTAATGTTTTTTCTTGGAGGGATATAGTTTTCTGGCTAATAGGTTTCCTAAGGTGAGAATTTTTTATTTAATCTTTTCTCCAAAGTGTCTAACTTCTTTGACACTTCACAAAATCTGATTTTTTTTTGTCAGAAGTGGAAACTTCTACTTTAATCTCCCATAAACCAAGAGTCCGATTCAATTTAAAAAAAATAATATTCGTACCATATGTCAAAGTTTGGAAACTCAATCTTTGAGTTTATAGTCCAAACCCTCATGTCAAGTCACTGTTTCATTGATTTATATATACAATGTTGAAATTGTTAAATCTCACCATAATCCGTAATCAATCTTTAGATATTCTGATTTAAAGAATAACATTTTATTTTAAATGTAAAAATCTGAAAACTTAATTGTTGAATGTACAGTCTAAACCCTCATGATTTTGCAGGTGAAGAGAAAAAACTGTGAAGGTTTATTATAGTTTTAAGAAGATGGCAACACTAGCAGATATTGGAATAGCAGCTGCGATTAACATCTTAACTGCTTTGATATTCCTTTTGCTATTTGCAATCTTGAGGATCCAACCATTCAATGATAGGATTTATTTCCCTAAGTGGTACTTGAAAGGTCTTAGAAGCAGCCCTCTTGTGAACCCTGGTGCTTTCGTGAGCAAAATTGTGAACTTGGATTTTCGTTCTTACATTCGGTTCTTGAACTGGATGCCTGCTGCGCTAAAGATGCCAGAGTCTGAACTTATTGATCACGCTGGTTTTGACTCTGCTGTTTACTTGAGGATTTATTTGATTGGGTAATAATAACATTATTGCATACAATGTGCCTTAAGAAAGTATGTTGAGCTTTGTTTCTAATGTTTTTTCAGTATTTTACAGACTTAAGATTTTTGTCCCAATCGCATTACTTTCATGGTCGATTCTTGTTCCTGTCAACTGGACAAGCAATGGATTGCAGCTAGCAGAACTTAATGATGTAACATCGAGCAATATCGATAAGCTTTCGATATCAAATGTCGAACGTGGCTCAGACAGGTTCGTTGGAGAAAGAAAATGTGTAGTTTGCTACATTTTATTACCCTAACGATTAAAACTGTTGGTTTTGGTAAAGGTTTTGGGCTCATCTGATGATGGAATACGCATTCACATTTTGGACATGCTATGTTTTGTGGAAGGAATATGAGAAAATAGCTTCAATGCGGTTAGCATTTCTCCAAGCTGAGGAGCGACGTGCGGATGAATTCACCGTATATATGTTTCTTTTCATTTTTATATTTGGTCTTCACATTATATGATTTTTTTCCCACTTTTTAATGTTGGTTGCATTATGCCAGGTTCTGGTTAGGAACATACCAACGGACTCACAAGAGTCAGTTAGTGAGAATGTGGAGCAATTCTTTATGGTTAATCACCCGGATCATTATCTTATGAATCAGGTTAGCTTATTTCCCTAAAGGAATAAAATTTTCATTCGGTCTATATCACTAATTTCTAAATTAAGATAAGTTCGTTTTTTATTGTACATTAGGTGGTTTACAATGCAAATGAATTGGCTGAACTAGTAGCAAAGAAGAAGAAAATGCAGAACTGGTTTGACTACTACCAATTGAAGTATACAAGAAATAAGGAACAAAGGCCAAGGGTAAAGGTAAAATATTTGGAGAAACCTGAAAACAAATGTATATGTAAAATACCACTTGTCTAAAATGTGTTTCATCGCAGTTAGGCTTTCTTGGGCTATGGGGAAAGAAAGTAGATGCAATAGATCATTTCACAGCTGAGATCGAAAAACTAAGCGACCAAGTAAGTATTGTTTCTTCTTTGCCGAATTTCCTGTTTCGGATTTTGGTTCGGGTTTCTTGGTTTTCATTTCTTTCATTTTACTAAATATACTAACTTTGATATATATATATATATATTTTTTTTTTTTTATCACAGATAATGGAAGCAAGGAAGAGAATGAAGAAAGATGAAAAAGGTGTGATGCCGGCAGCTTTTGTCTCGTTTAAAACGCGTTGGGGTGCTGCGGTTTGCGCACAGACTCAGCAGACAAAGAATCCAACCGAGTGGTTAACTGGATGGGCTCCCGAAGCAAGGGAAGTGTATTGGCCAAACCTTGCTATTCCTTACGTGTCTCTCACGGTAAGGAGACTTGTAATACACGTCGCCTTCTTCTTCCTCACTTTCTTCTTCATCATCCCAATCGCATTTGTGCAATCCCTTGCGAGTATCGAAGGTATCCAAAAAACTGCTCCATTCCTCAATCCCATCGTTGAAAAGTACGTACATTCCTCCACATTTCTTGCTTAGCATTTGAAAAATGAGAATTATGCTTTACTAATATTAATATTCGACCAATCTTGTGTGTGCAGGAAGTTTATCAAATCGGTGATCCAAGGTTTTCTTCCGGGTATTTTCTTGAAGCTCTTTTTGTTATTTCTGCCAACGATTTTAATGATCATGGCGAAGTTCGAAGGGTTTGTTTCAATCTCATCGTTAGAGAGAAGAGCGGCTTTTAGATACTATCTATTCAACCTTGTGAATGTTTTCCTCGGTAGCATAATCACCGGATCTGCATTTGAACAGCTCGATTCTTTCCTTAAACAGTCCGCCGATCAGTAAGCTCGACCTCTCTCGTTAGCCTCAACAACACTTTATGTCATTACTATTAGAAAACTTATATTTCTCAACCTTCTTACCTTTTTGTTTTTAAGGATTCCACGGACGGTTGGAGTAGCTATTCCGATAAAGGCAACATTCTTTATAACGTATATAATGGTTGATGGTTGGGCGGGTGTGGCGGGAGAGATTCTTAGGCTTAAAGCTTTTATTATTTATCATTTGAAGAACTTGTTTTTGGTGAAAACCGAAAAGGATAGAGAAGAAGCAATGGATCCGGGACAGATTGATTTCTATGTAAACGAGCCTCGGATACAACTCTATTTCCTCCTCGGCCTTGTCTATGCTCCTGTTACACCTGTTCTACTTCCTTTCATCATCTTCTTCTTTGGTTTCGCTTACCTCATCTTCCGTCATCAGGTGAAAAAGAAAACGAACTTTTTTTTTTGTCAAGTACTTAGATAATTTCATCTAGTTACTTTATAGTTGATTTCTGGTTTTAGAAATTGCAATTAATGCATTTTGATTTTTTCAACTTTTGATAATTCAAGATGATTTAGAGAGTAAGCTGTGTATATTACGGATCTGCACTGGACTAACTACAAACTACGATAGAACATCTATAAATTAATAAATTCACTTGTCTCAATTTGGGTTAGTTCAAAATTTGACACAAATCGATAAAATAATAAGATAATTATTTAAAAAAAAAATCTCTGTAAATATATGGTCCCATTAAATATATGGTATACATATTTTATATAAGTAAGAAGCTATCATTATATTGTTTATTTTCTATTCACAATGAAATTATTTTTATATTTTCTTAATGTTTAATATATTTTTGTGAGTTTATAATATTATATCTTAAAATGCATTTAAATTCTATGCAATATATATTATATACACCAAATGATGTAATAAAATTTAAATATAAATGTCAAATTTCAGAAAATAATAATTAATGTCTATACATTAAAGTTAAATGTATTTTATCTTACGATAAGAATATCTTAAAATAATAAATCTAAATAAGGAAATTTTTATAAATTAATATCTTTATAAATTAATAAAATTTCAAAGTTTCAATATTATTAATTTATAAAGGTTCTATTGTAATGTGAATTGAAGTCCATAAAATACATCTTACCCTCCAAGTTATCTCAAATTATTGATTTTGGATATCAAGATTAAAAGATTTTACTTTAAATGATGATATATTCTGTTTTAAATTGGGATCGCTTGTCTCTAATAGTCTAATTTTTGGATATAGTCCATTCGAATCAAGATATATTTGGTGGTCTTGTTATTAGCTAAATTGGTTTGTTGCAGATCATAAATGTGTACAATCAAAAATATGAGAGCGCGGCTGCGTATTGGCCAGACGTTCATGGACGTATTATATCGGCATTGATCATTTCACAGATACTTTTAATTGGATTAATGAGCACAAAAGGAAAAGCTCAGTCCACGCCTTTCCTCGTGGTTCTACCAATTCTAACCATCGTTTTTCACCGGTTTTGCAAAGCCCGGTACGAATCAGCATTCGTCATTAATCCTTTGCAGGTTCGTATGATAACTCCCACAACATTTCAGCTCACATTTTATACCACCAAGATGGAAAAATATTTACATAGCATATAGTTTATGTTAACAGATGATATATTTGGCTTGATTTTGCTTCAGTTTGGTATGTCTTATTTAATCTTGTTAGTACCGGTTTACAGGAAGCTATGATTAAGGATTCATTGGAACGGACAAGAGAACCGAACTTGGATCTAAAAGGGTTTCTTAAAAACGCCTATATTCATCCAGTTTTTAAAGACAAAGAATACAAAGATGACCTGCATGAGGGATTAATCCAGAATTCGGACGACGAAAATTGTGTAGTTGTACCGACCAAACATCAGTCTCAAAGAACCACCATGATGAGCAGCAATACAAATAGTGGCTCGTCACAACCACTACCTTCTAATTGACTCGACACGAGTAAGGCAAAAACCGGAGCCTTGATGCTCAATGAGTAAATCACTAAACCGTTTTATATTCACTATATATAAGAAAGAAAACCAATGCGTAGATATATTTTTGTTTTGATTGTTGTAGGCGGTTTTGTATATTTATATGTTTTTCATTACTTTATTTGCGTTTGTTGTCATTACCAAAACATGATTGTATAAAAACAATTTTCGATCATTTTGTCAAAAACTCTTGCTATGATTGGTGATGTTGTAACTAAAATTAGATTTTCAGCCCTGCAATGCACAAATGTTATTTTTAGTTTAAATATTTAAGTTTTGATGATAAATAATACGTGGAAACACCGTGGTGTATTGGTAAAAGTTTTAAAGGTTTTTACACCTATGTCTCGGGTACGAATTCCAGACTACAAAACTTCTACACCAAGATACATATTATTGGAGAAAAAAATTACAAGAAATTTTCAACATAGCACAAGGAGAATCGTCAGGTATGAATCTTATTAGGCGGTTCAGGATGATGTAGTCAGACGTGAATCCACATAAATCAAGTATAATTGTCGGCTGTAATATCGTCTATATAATATTTCTCATAGTTTGTAATGCATAATTAATCTGTATAAAAAATGATAAATAATATATTAGAAAATGTCATTTTCAATTATCATATTGTAAAGGTTTACTTTTAAAGCTGATTTGAAGCTAGATATATCTGGTGTTCTTGTTATTAGCTAAATGGGTCTCTTGCAGATCATAAATGTGTACAATCAAAAGGATGGGAGCATAGCTGCGTATTGGCCAGACGTTCATGGACGTATTATAGCAGTATTGATCATTTCACAAATACTTTTGATATGATTAATGAGCACAAAAGGAAAAGCTCAGTCCACGCCTTTCCTTTTGTTTTTCGTTTGGTTTGGTATGTGTTAATCTTGTTACTTGTTAGTACCGGTTTACAGGAAGCTATGATTAAGGATACATTGGAACAGGAAAGAGAACCAAACTTGAATCTCAAAAGGTTTCTAAAAACACATATTCATTCAGTTTTTGATGACAACAAATACGACGATGACCTATATGAGGAACAAATAGAAGAGGATTAGGACCAGGGGCGAAGCCACCGTATACGTTATGGGTGCATGCACCTGTAATATTATTTATATTCTCAATTTTTCAGAGAGTAAACATGTAAAATTAGTTAGAATTGATGGTAAAAAGTGGAGTGTGCACTCATAATAACCCAAGTTCAACTTTTAACTAAGCTTTTTATTCTTTTATCATCAAAAATGCACCCATTAGACAAAACTCCTAGCTTCGCTCCTGATTAGGACGGTGAAAATTCTGTAGTTACACCGACCAAACATCAGTCTCTAAAGTACCACTGATGAGCAGCAATGAGAATGGTGGTACGTCACAGTCAGTACCTTCTTTCCGACTTGACATGGATAGGGCAAAACCAGAGCTCTGATGTTCAATGAGTAATGTACGTTTTATATTCAGTAAAGTAGAGACGGAAATAAAGCTTATATATCCTTTTTATTTGGATTGTTGAGTTACGGTTTTGTAAGCTTTTCATGTAGTTTTTTTTTGTGTTTGTTGGCATTACCAATACATGATTGTATAAACACAATTTTTGTTTTGTTTTTTTTGGTTAGCTATGAGGTGTTTGGACATTCGACTCAAATAATCTCTACGGGTCCGGGACCAGACGACTCTAATACCATTTCTGATGTAAAGCATCCCTTGAACTAGGGCTGGACAAAAAAAACCGAACCCAAAAATCCGAACCGAATCCGACCCGATAAAAAGGAATCCGAACTGATTCGAACCCGACATAAGTACCGAATGGATCTTGTTTTACGGTATTTCGGGTTATGGGTATTACCCGAACCGAACCCGAACTTAAATGGATATCCGAAAGAACCCGAAACTTTAAAATTCCAAAAAAACTTGTACCATATCCGATCTAAATATCTAATATGTTTCCAAAACAGATTAATATATTATTGAGTACCTACAATAATTAGTTATGATATAAATAATTAACTCAAATATTTAGTCTAATATATAGTGTTATTTGGTTAATATTAATGTTTATGATTGACATTACATTTGAAGTTAAGTTACGAATAAATTTGTTTTGAAGTTAAGTTACGAATAAATTTGTTTTGAAGTTTATATAATGTTGTTTTTAAAAGTTTAAATAGCACTTCTTATGTTTATAGAATTGTTAGTTGTTAACTTTAATTTTTTATGTTTCATTATGTATTATATTTCGTTCATACAAGGCTTTGGTTTGTCATTAATCATGATATGTTTAGTGTTGTCACATATAGTTNTTAAAAGTTTAAATAGCACTTCTTATGTTTATAGAATTGTTAGTTGTTAACTTTAATTTTTTATGTTTCATTATGTATTATATTTCGTTCATACAAGGCTTTGGTTTGTCATTAATCATGATATGTTTAGTGTTGTCACATATAGTTCATTGACAAATCTTATATGGTTGATAGATGAGTTTCACAATATTATTTTGAAAGAGAACAATATGGTTTGTAGAAGCTAAATATATAAATTTAATAGAATGATTGAAAATATAGTGAGTTTAATTGAGTATAAATTAGTATTCCTAGAACCGATAACCCGATTAGTATCTGAAACCGAAACTATTTCGGGTTCAACCGGATCTTGGACATGTTACTAAACACGAACCGAACCCGACTAAACCCGAACCGAATCCGACCCAAAGTTTTATAATATCCGAATGAGGCTAAAATTCATGAACCCGAAAACCCGAAACCCGAATGAACCCGAACCAAAACCCGATTGGGACCCCAATTGCCCAGCCCTACCTTGAACCCAGGTGGCGGCAAACTTATAACCCTTGATAAAATTTAAAATCAGATGAAAAATAAATCTGGTATAATGTATTGTATTGAATTTACTAATATTTGCTAATATGTGAGAAAAAAATTACAAATGTTTTTATAAATCAAAATCTGAATTTAATAATATTTTAAAATTTTCAGCGGTTTGAATAATAGAATCTGGTTGACAAAAAAAGAATAATAGAATCTAAAATCATAAATAATTAATTGATATTTATTTTTCGCGTTTGCCTTAATAATATATTTTAATTCTCTTTAAATTTAGTAAACATGAAGTTAAATTTTCTTTTTTATCCTATATATTTATATAAAATATGTATATATTTAAAACTGTATATTTACATATTAGTTTACAATGTTATGAAGTATAATGCGTAAGAGATTATCTAAGAGTTATGACCATGAAGGACTTAAGTCTCATCGTTGGTTTGGTCAAGTCAAGACCTTTAATGTTTCGACAGTCTAGTTTGATCAAGACCCTTGTGTAATCAAATGTATGGCGATGTAATCGTGTTCTGACCAGTGTTTTGAAACCCAACCCCAACTCATGGTTAAACCGGTAAATCCGATGATCTAAAAAAAATTCGGTTCGCGTTTTGTTAAAAATCCAAAATTTAAAAACCCAAAAAAATCACTAAAACCCAAAATCATATGCTGGTTGAACCACTGGTTGAAACAATAAATAAACTTTTATTTTTTTTTAGTTTTAAATTACGTTTTTATTATGTTTTATATTTTAAATTTCTAATTTGAAAGTTAGATTTCCACGTTTTAGTTATTGACATTGCCGTCTTTTTCTTTAAATTTAGATTAAAATTTCTGATTTTTAATCATACATAATACCTACTACACTATTTTATCTGTGATTTTTAGATTTTGATGAAGATTTCACTATGCCACTTGAAGAAAATAAACTGAAGGATGGTAGCGAAAACTAAAATTAGTTGATGTGATTTTGTGTTAGTTTATTTTTGTTATTGATAATTTATTACACTGATGTTTTACTTTTTTATTTATTTTGGATTTGAAGTTTAATTTATTATTCTCATTAGACATTTAAATATTTATGACATTATATCTTGATTTTTTTAGATTTTATTACTCTTAACTTGTTATAAAAAAATTTAAATAGTCTAAACTAGTTTTTGATATTTTATATATTTATACATTTTATGTTTTAAAAATATTTAACTTTAGTTTCTATATTTTTTATTTTCATAGCTAATATATTATTATATAATAAAGTTTTATTTATTAACATGTGGTTCACCCGCGGTCGATCCAGTGATTCAATGACCTAGTAAATCGTTCGGTTCATTGTCCGGATCGAGTTTAAAAACATTGGTTCTGACGTAATGGCCACTATATGCTGACTTGATTTGTCCGTTTTATGGCAAGACTCCCCCAAGATATTTTTCCTTTTTTTTATAAAGAGATATTTTTCCTTTTATCAGAAGTATTAGGATAAATGTTAAATCATATATGAAAATAAATCCAATAAATAGTAGTATAAAAAAGGAATTCAACAAAAGATGTATCTTTAGATGCAAAGAAAAATCAGGCCAGAAAAGAAATAAATCCGAAAAATGAATAGTTAATTTTGTCTTGATTTTTTTTTTCTTGGATTTGATGAATAATATATCCTAAAATAAAGTAATTGTTATCTATCTTAAGTCATTTTAATGTCGAGACTGTTTCTAGTCAGCAAAGTATCGCATTAAGTAGAAGTAGATCTTTATATTCCTCAATTTTAGTATTTCTTTCTTTTTTGATGTTGGTTTCTTGCGATTAACACCTGTGACTCTTAAAACAAAAAGAGTTATTAACATAGAAAAGAGATTATTAATGAACTGTGTTTTGTAGTGTGGGTGTTCACGGAGAAAGCCTGTTTGCTCAAGGCGTTAGAGTTAGAGTAGGTACGCTTTTAACGGTGAGATTAGGAACGATGCATCTTTTATTTCCGTGCCCATAGAGAATTAAAAAAGGAAAACGGAAAAAAAAAAAAATTGACTTTTTGTATTAAGTTAAAGTGCAGATTTTGAGAACTCTAATATTTTTTTCTAAGAATTGTTTAAATCTTATCAGCTAAACTCTCAAGCTGGAATCTAGGGGTCTGGATAGAATCATCGTTGGTTCCAACGCGCAACTGGTAAACATTTGTTCTATCTCTGACTTGATTATGAGTCAATAGATATATAACTCTGTTTTGTAACGGAGTTTCATTGTGATCATGAACGACGACCTCGAATTCTTGCATTGTTCTGGGTTCAAAATCAAACATCTATATTCCTAAACTTTTGAATCCTTTTTATATATATAATTTGTGGCGTGTCATGTGAAAAATGAAAAATTTTCAGATTTTTTATTTTTTTTAATCAAAATGCGATTTTTCTGGATTATTTTTGATGCAAAAGATCTTTGTTAAGCTAATAGCTTTCATGTTCTTTTTTTGTTTCTTTCTTGCAGCAAAAGAAAAAATGGGGAGTGTTAGTTTGGAGCATTATAGTCTGATGGAGAGGTCTCAAACTTATTTTCGTGATTTGTGGTCGACCAAGAAGAAGAGAAGTGTTAGATTATTCAAGTCCAAAGAGGCCTGCAAGAGCTCGAGGCCTGCGATTTTGAGAGTCTATTGTCGGAAAAGGAAGCATTCGACAGCCTTGGAAAGCAATGCTGCCAAAAGAAGCAGAGTTGAAGCTGTTCCTAAGGAGGTGGAGCAACAACACTCTCATCATGATGAAATCATGTATAGTGATTGGATTACTAAGCGGAGGATCACTGTGGAAAATAGGGGTGATAAGGGTTATGAAGATCAGAGTTCTGGAAGATTCGCTAGTAAAAGGAAGAGACGACCTGAAGCAGAACACAAAGAAGATAAGAAATGGGAAGAAGAAGTTAAACTGGTTTCTAAGCTCGAGGCAACATCATCCCGAAGAAGGAGAGCTCCTGAAAATGAAAATGACACAGATGTTACTTCTTCTCGGTCACGTTCGCCAGCTTCACAAGTATCAGATTCCCTTTTGAAAAATGGCAGTCCTGATGACTACCCAAGAATCAAAAACACTTCAAAGGTAATATGTCTTTACTTATGTTGCTTGAATCTGACCAACAAAACTGTTACAGTACTTAACTTGTTCAAAATATATATATATTTTGTCTTGGTAGGAGTCGAAGGAACGTCATGCTATTTGCCACCAGTGTTTGAAAGGGGAAAGGATAACTCTTGTCATCTGCAGTGAATGTGAAGATACCATGTATTGTCTTCAATGTATAAGGAAATGGTTGGTTTCTATCTTACTTTTTAATCTATTTCTCTGTTCTTGTAACAAAAATATGTGTTGATATATATGAATTTACTCTATTTGTGGGTTGTTTGTTGCAGGTATCCACAGTTATCTGAGGATGATGTCGTTGATAAATGTCCTTTCTGCCGCGAAAACTGTAACTGCAGCAGATGCTTGCATTTGAATGGTTTAATCAAGGTAATGACAAGATTCATGAGATGTTTCGTTCTTGATGGTTATTTTGCTAACTGGTTTCTTCACAGACATCAAACAAGGAACTCTCAAGTTCTGAGAGACGCCATCACCTCCAATACTTGATTGCATTGATGCTTCCATTTCTGAAAAAAATATCTGAATCCCAGAGTGAAGAGATTGAAATTGAGGCAAAGGTTCAAGGTATGAATCTTACGTTACTAAGACATGGTTTCTATTGCTATAAGTTGATTTTCTGCTAAAACTAATGACATGTTTTTGTAGGAATACTGCCATCTGAAGTTGATGTAACTAGTGCAGTAAGCTATTTTGATGAACGTGTATTCTGGTAAGCACACTCAAGTTATCTAACAGAGAGTTAATATCTTTTATTAATTCTGAAAAATCATGTCTGTTGCAGTAATCATTGTGCAACTTCAATTGCTGACTTGCACCGGAGCTGCCCAAAGTGCTCTTACGAGCTTTGTTTAAACTGCTGTCAAGAGATTCGTCAAGGATTGATCACTGAACGCCCTGAAATTAAATTGCAATATGTTGACAAAGGATACAGGTATATGCATGGTGACATGGCGCCAAGCTTCTCCTCAGTATCTGAGGAGCCAGAGGAGGAAGAAGCTAAACCATCCGCTAATTGGAATCCCGGTTTTAACGGAAGCATCACTTGTGCACCAAAAGAGCTAGGTGGTTGTGGTGAATGTACGTTGGAGCTTAAGCGAATCCTACCTCGGAAGATGATGTCAGACTTGGAACAAAAGGCTGAAACTCTCTTGGCATCATCATACATTATAAGCCCTAGAGGGTTGAGCTGTAAGTGTTCTGCCTCGGAGACAGATATGAGAAGGAAAGCAGCTTCGAGGACGAGATCAAGCGACAACTACTTGTTCTGTCCTGATTCTCTTGATGTCTTGAAGGAAGAAGAGATTCTGCATTTTCAAGAGCATTGGGCAAAAGGTGAACCGGTTATTGTCAGGAACGTTCTTGATAACACACCTGGTTTAAGCTGGGAGCCGATGGTTATGTGGCGGGCTTTATGCGAAAATGCGGATTCATCAACATCAACTTCTAAGATTTCTCAAGTCAAAGCAATTGATTGTTTATCTAATTGTGAGGTATATATATTTCATTCCGTTTTTTTTCTTTCTTTTGAATACTAGCAGTGTTTTTAAACTCGGACTGAACCCGCAGTTCAACAGTGTTTTTATCTATAACAATATTTTTATCTTTTAAATTATTATAACACAGTATTACAAATAAAAAATATAACCCTTTTATTATATTCAGCTTTTTGAATTTTCTAATTCAAAATGATATATATTTAAAATCAAATTATTAATTTCATATCTAAACTTAAATATTGATGTTATATCTAATTTCATTTGGTTTATACGTAAATTTTATTTCATAATTATTTGTGTTGAAAATTGTAATACCTAAACTTAATTTTGTTTATAATCTCGTCTTTTTAATCAGGTGGAGGTCAATGCTCGTGACTTCTTTCAAGGTTACAGAAAGGGAAGATCATATGAAAACTTCTGGCCTGAGATGTTGAAGCTAAAGGACTGGCCTCCTTCTGATAAATTTGAAGACCTTTTACCTCGTCACTGTGATGAGTTCATATCTGCATTACCATTCCAAGAATATAGCGATCCTAGAACCGGAGTTTTAAACATTGCAGCAATGCTTCCTGAAGGACTCATCAAACCAGATTTGGGTCCAAAAACTTACATTGCCTATGGGATTCCAGATGAGCTTGGTAGAGGCGATTCCGTCACTAAGCTTCACTGTGATATGTCTGATGCGGTAAAGCTTTCATTAGTCTTTTTATATATACTTTTGGTTTTTGCTTTAATGGTTAAAAGACTCACTAGTTTGAAATTATGTAGGTTAATATACTGACGCATACGTCTGAAGTAATATTAAGTCAAGAACAGATATCTGCTGTTAGAGATATAAAACAGAAACACAAGGAACAGAACAAGTTCGAAGAACATGGCACTGGTATTGCATGTAGCCAAGAGGAAGAAGAACTGAACATGCCAGAGATTCTGAGCTATGAAAATAATGAAACAGGAAGTGCTCTTTGGGACATATTTAGGAGAGAAGATGTTCCTAAGTTAGAGGAGTATCTGAGAAAGCATTTTAAAGAGTTTAGACATGCTTATTGTTGTCCAGTCACAAAGGTAAAACAACACCCATCGGCAAGAACTGAGTTTACTTGCCAGGTACTGACGAGTTTTCGACTTTTTTATTATATATTCAGGTTTATCATCCAATACATGACCAATCATTTTATTTAACCGTTGAGCATAAAAGAAATCTCAAAGCGGAGTTTGGTATGTAATAAAATAACCATCAATGTATTTCTCTCTTTTTCTGACTCTATATTGGCAAACTAAATGTTATGTCTGAAATTGTAGGGATCGAACCGTGGACTTTTGTGCAAAATCTGGGAGAAGCTGTGTTTATTCCTGCAGGTTGTCCTCATCAAGTTCGGAATCTGAAGGTAAACTCAATTGATTTTATCTTCTTCTTCCACTTTAAATTAAACTGTCACAAAATATGCATTGTAGTTGAGAATCTAATGAAAACATGTTTTATGGTCGGCAATTTTGGGACAGTCATGCACAAAAGTGGCAGTAGACTTTGTGTCACCAGAGAACATCAGTGAGTGTCTGCGTCTGACGGAAGAGTTTCGCCAACTTCCCAAGAACCATAAAGCCAGTGAGGACAAACTTGAGGCAAGTCTTTCTCTCTCTTTACCAATTAATTGTCTTTTTTTTCTCTTCCTGTTGTTGTGTGTTTGTGTGTTTGTTTGAGCATACTGTATCTATGTATGGCTGATGCTGGTGAGGTTTAGCTGGATATCCGGGGTTCTCTTGGATATCTGGATCCAATTAGGAGGGATGTGCATTTGAAGTTTTGAACCAAACACCAATCGGTTTCTCTAAATCTGAAATTTTTAACTTTATAAAACTCAAATCAAAATACTGAACTTTTTTGAACAAAAAAAAAAAGAGAGACTGAACCGTTTTCAACATATAAATAAATTTAAATCTGAAAATAATTTATGGGTACATTTAGTTTGACTACTATTTATTTATTTACTTCATATTTTTTTATCCAAAGAACTGAACCATCTAAATTTTTTTATAATCAAAATATTGGTTTTAATTCGGCTATTACTTTTTCCAAGCCGAACAAAAATAAATAAACCAAACTGCACATCTCTATCCACTAGCATTAAGGGTATAATATCTGACAGGTTGTTCCAAAATATTGAATAACATAATCTTGTTACAGAAGAATCTCTATAAATTAATAATGTTGCGATTTTAAATTTTTATTAATTTATAGAAGTTTCTTTATTAGATTTTTTTACTTAAAGATATATTTATTCTAAGATAAAAAAATATATGATTTTAGTGTATATAATATATATTGCATAGAATTTACATATAGTTTTAGATATGATATTACTAAATCTCATCAAAAATATATTAAGTGTTAAAGCAAATATAAAGATAATTTTATTGTGAATATAAAATAAAAAATACAATTATAGATTCTTACTTATATAAAATATGTATACATAGAAATTATTAATTTATAATTTTAGTGGGAGCATATATTTACATAGAATCTTCTAAAAAAATGTTATTTTATCGATTTATGTCATATTGTGAAATGGGTTAAATTGGAAGCAACGAAATTTATTAATTTAAAGAGATTATTTAAAAGTGCAAACGTTTTCTACTTAAATATATCGATATGATTTGACCAAACAAAAAAATATATATATAAAGTCAAACAAACAAACTAAAAACAAGTGAGTCCCTATGCGAAATATGGCTCCCCAAAGGATTTCATTGTTATGTGGCCTCAAAAAGAAAATCACAATGGCACAAAGTTCGGGTTGCATCTCAACTTGGGTCGGGAAGACCTATTTTGGGAAGTGTGCAATCTTGGTCGATTTATTCCGAATCAGATTTGTGTGTCAGTAATATTAGTCAAACTGAATCAAACACCCCTAAAATATTGTCTCAACAAAAAAAGGAGAAAGGTGTTTGGGTTGCATGTAGACTGCCCATTAACTAACATGGGGGATCATGTTGCAGAGACGATTACTTGTATCTGCAACTGAATCTCTTATCTTTGCTTGAGATGTTAGTTTTGATTGTCATAAAACACATGTCACCACACCCAATAAAGTCTCAAGTTTGGTTTAAGTGCACCCTCAGTTGGTGCTCGCGCCATCATTGTCTTGTGTGGACATTGATAGGACTTCTAATTCATCCTATGGCTTGCTGGCTCTTGGTTTACTAACTCCTCAAATCCATCCTCGAGATGATATTATGGAGCATACCATCTAATTTCTCGCCGATAAAAAGGAGCATTATAATGGTGGGTTGTTAGTATGTGTAAGCGAATCCGATTTCGTCTCACTTTCTCAAGGATCTATAGGTTTGATACAACAAGGGGTTGTAACAGAAGATCCCCGAATTAATTACTCATCAGTTAGTCATCATCATCTCCATTTGTGGAAAGGAAAAAAGATTGTTAATGTTTCCGATTTTAGTTTTTGTAAATCCGTAAACTTCCTTTCGGACTTGTGTTTATATTTTTAATACGAAAAAATCTTTCTGAATCCACTAAAATTCCTTGTGAGTATTTAGAGATCACTGAATGGATGATGAGTGTTCTTTTAAAGATTTTAATTTTCCTTGTTATCGAAAAGGAAGTTGGGTAAAGAAAACTCCCTCCTTCAACAAGCACGGGGTTGGTCAAGTAGAACCGGGTTGCACTCCTTGATGCTCTAGTCGAAAACAAATGAATGAGGTTGTGATGGTAATACAAGATTTTGTTTGAGAGTCTAAATCTATTAAAATCTGGTAACAATCCCCTTCACTTAGTTTATTTTCTAGATTTTGGATTATACATCGTGGATTTCTTCTACCTGTACAAGATTGCAACGGGCGAAATGAAAAATGATGAAGCAAAAATGGCAAGTTGGTAGTTGGTGGTGATTATATGGCTATATTTTATGCCAAACGAAAATTTGATCACAATTATTTCCATCTATCAGAGTTGTGGGATAAAAATTCGAGAGTTTAGAGATAAAATATAATACAAGGTTGTTGGATTGTCGACTTTGTGTTACTAACAACTTTACAAGAACAACTACTAAAACACACTTTCATAAGTAATATATAGATAAACACAAAGTCGACAATCTAACACACTTGATACTGATTGTGTTAGATTGTCGACCTTGTGTTTTATCTAGATTTTACTTATGAAAGTGTGTTTTAATAGTATTTCTTGTAAAGTTGTTAGTAACACAAGGTCGACAATCTAACAACCTTGTATTATAGTTTATCTCTAATACAAGGTCGACAATCTAAAAACTTTACAAGGAAAACTACAATGTTACTATATAGATCAATAACATTCAACAGAAAATATATTCTCTTGCTAAAAACTTTTTTCGATGATAGAAAAACAATAATCTTGAAATATTGGTGAACATCTTTATCGAGTAATATATTTTCCGTTAGTGCATCTGTACATGTATGATGAAAGATGACATATTTACAGCCTTTTATTCTTGTCCTTTTGTATTTCTTCACAGGGCTGCCCATTTAATGTTATATTTTACTTTTGATTTACTCGTGCAACAGATTAAGAAGATGGTGATCTATGCGATCGAGCAAGCTCTCATAGAACTTGAGACGTTACCAGAAGAGATCAAACCAATACTACAATAGTAAAAGGCAGCTTTTGTGTGACATCTATAAAGAGCTACCATGTTGTTGTGTTACCTTCGCTGTGTAGGATTCTCAGATTCTCTATAAACATTTGGATTTTTCGTCTTTGTTTTTATGACATTCATTGGCTTTTCGGTGATCCGATAAGCGCATAGACATAGCTAAATATGATTATATAAACTGGTTACCTTTTGGAAGCTAGACATATTTCTTGCTTATTCAAAAGAATTGTCTAAATCTTTAAATAGTGTTTTGTAAATGTAGAAACTTTAGTATATCACGTGTTTTCCAAAAAGATTAACATACTCACATACAACCAGTGTTTTGGGGCCGGGATCCGTGTCCCGAGGCTTTAAATTGCACAGATTCTTGGGAATCTTAAACGTGAACTTCGGCTGGGATAATGTATATGCGGTGAGTTTGTAGGAAACTGATATGCTTCTGCTAAGAGGGTATATGTTCATCTCCCGGATTTGATCTGAATGTTCAAGGTAAAAAAAACTTTAATATTCAAGTGTCAACATATCTTTTACACTAATTTTTTTTGTCAAATAATAAATCGGCATTTTCACCAGTTTTAAATGGAAAATTAATTATTGAAATTGCTAAAATCGAGAATTAAACCATTTAATCATATCCTAGATGATCGATTAAACGTTTGTTTGGTTATTATTGTTCGGTTTTACCTTACTCGTGGCAAAATGCTACCACCAAAAAAATTAATGGCATTGGATGGATTTCACCAAAACTGATGAATCTGATAATAGAGGCTTGACGGGAATTTTATCTTCCTTCCCCTTCCTATCCTATAAAGAATCCAAGGAAAACCAATAAGTTATCTTTTCTGAAGAAAAAAATTACTTTAGATTAAAAAACTAGAATTACATTTGACCAATTATATTCAGAAGATAACCAATGCTTCTACTCAGAAGATAACCAATGCTTTTGTCCTCACTGAAAATAACTACTCCCTCCGTTTCACATTAGTTATCATTATAGGTTTTATACACAGATTAAGGAAACATTTCATTTACATAATTTCAAGATAAAAACACAATTATCTTTATACCTAACCACTTTTCAACCAATAAAAAAATAGAATATCATATAAAGTTAATAAATTTTGTCTCGAGACTCTAAAACGACACTTATTTTAAAAGAATTTTTTTTTCTTTAAAATGACAACTAATTCAGAATAGAGGGAGTAAGATAAACATTTTTGATGACACACTAATAAAGCCTATTTCAAGATTAAGTAAATAACTAGACATTCTCATAGCCACCATTTAACAAACTTGAATGGCAGAACATGAACTAAATAAAAATCAGAATTGGCAAAAATCTAAGCATGTATGCGAAGAACATAACCTTACACAAATTAGCAGACAATAGATTTTTAAACTCTTTAGCTAGATTGAGTATCCTAGAAAATGAATAAAAATTAAAAAGGGATATCAAGTATTGTGAAGGTGTCCACATCAAATTAAAAAATCATCCAATACGGTTGTCCCCTTTTGCCACGTCAGTGAAATTGCAGATTGATCCCTCGGTTTTTGATTTTTTTTCACTCTGACATTAAAGGCTGAAATGATGCAGAATAACCCTTGATTTTCGCCCAAACTTCTCAATTGTTCATTTAAACCCTGTCAAATGCAGTTATGTATCCAAATGCAATATAAAGACATTAATGCAACCTAGAATGATCATAATAAACTAAATATGAATCTAAAACTCATCAAAATCAAGAGATATCATCGGGTTTTTGTCCAGTAAAATATTTTATAATTTTAAACCTTTTTTGTATTTCTGTAAATAAAATATTTAGTAGACATATGGAGATATTTTACTGTATTTCAGTTTATGTATCATTGTTTTTGAAAATATTAAACATTTTCCTCACAATATACATTTTAATTATTTTATTATGTAGTAATGTATTTATTTGGTTAACACAGAGAAATCAAAACCATTTAGTGCTGCTGACACACTATAAAGGAGGTGAAATAAAATAATATATATTTTTAATCATTGGTATAACCATTTAGTTTTTTTTTTCACAGTGGGGAAGATTGGTTTACTAACGTTTAAAAAATATTTGTTACGTCAATTAAATGATGATATGAGATTATGAAACTGAATTTATAGAGCTAATGTAACTTAGTTAAGAAATATTTGTGCCAAACAAGGAAAAAAAAAGTGACAAACTAATTGAGAACAAATGCTCAAATATAAAAACATGAACAAATCGTGGAAGATGAAATTTTGAGCACGCACGTGTTTGTTAATTTTGATTTTTTATTCATATATTGAATACTGAGTATACTAGAATTTTTTTTGTCATTCTATTAATATTTTAATTTGTTTCTGTCAACTCGTTTATTTGATTTTTTTTATAATCCATATAGAATTACATGTGGATCCACTAAGATAAAACCTCTTATTTACATTCCAAATAACTCGATAGCCAACCAGAAAAGTAAAGCCTTTTATTTATATTCAACAAATCTTATGCTCCGTAACTGCCATCTCAGATCCTTCTTGTTTCTTCACTTGCTAGCTCGACACTAGCTCAATAATAGCACAAATCTGGATCAAATTTTAAAATACTAAATATAACTAAAAGATTAAAATTTTTAAACTGATGACATTTTTTGAGTGATAAATGAAATTCTCTCCCATGTATATTGACATATTGCCACACTATAATTTTATATCATTACATGTAGAGACATATTCCAAGTCAAATGTTGAATCCAATATATTGACTTAATTTACATAGTAATAACGATTTTTGATAATAATTTGTCTTACAGTTTTTTTTAAACATGCTAGAGACTGCTGCCCTCTTAAACATTAAGCATGTTCATTTTCCCTTATTATTGTAAACGGTAATCACAAAAGTTAAAGATCAAATAGAAAATATTTTTAATAATATTGTAATGACTCAATGTTAATAAAAAGGGAAGTTAATGTTTGTACATAAATTGTAAACTCATTTTAGAATACAAAATATATGTTAAAGTTGCTTCTACGGTTCTACGAAGATGGTAATTTCAAATTTTACATTTGTTTCGCAAAGATAATCGTTTTATGTTTTGAATGTAAGATTATAAATTATTTACTCATTTTACCCATATTGATTAAAATGATTACAATATATACTAATTTATTTTTGAAGATTATAGATAAAGTAGGTAAATTTTTTTGATATCATAACTTTATCACCAAATTATGTAAAAATAAAAAAAAAAGTTACAGTTTTGTGAAATAATGTTTATATGGTATAAAATAAATAAACTAAGTTAGTTATACTCCAAAATTACTGAAAAGAAAGAAAATAGAAATTGTAAAAGTAATGAAAATTATTAAAAATAAATAAATGCAATCAAACAAGGCTATTTACGTAGTAAACAGTAATTAAATTAGAATACATAAACCACTTGTAGCGCGGTGAAAAGATCTAGTAAACTGAAAGACACAACACCAAAGCTTAAAACCCCCTTGTTAGCAGAAAAATATTAAAACAGGAAAAATAAATTGTTGAGAAAAGATGGAGTTTCCTAGGGTTTGAGAGGAGCCTCACATGACCAACATATATTTATGATCCTATGGAATATATTTAGAAGTTGTTTCCTAAAAAAACATATTTAGAAGTTGTATCTGAGAAGAGACCCGGATGCAGAGAGGATGTGGAATCTGAGAAGAGATCTATCAGTGGCCAATAGAGAAGAAGAAATATACGGGTGCCAACGTAGCAGAGAAGAGTGGTTACGTGCGGGTGATTTAAATACTTCATAGTTCCATAACAGTGTCAAGGAGAGGAAATAGCGTTCTGATGCTACTTGATAAACACAGAATATAACATTTCTCTGATGGCGCTAAAGGGCACATAGCGACTGAATACTTCAGGGAATTTTTTATGAGCACAAACCCCTTTGATCTTGATTCATTATTTGAGGGTTTTGAGTTGGGTATTATGCAAGAAATGAATGATATTCTAACTCAGCCTGTTACATATGAGGAGATCAAGCAAGCCGCTTTTAAGGTGAATGATAGTAGTGCCCTTGGAGAGGATGGACTTACTGGAGCGTTTTATCAAAAGTCTTGGCACATAGTTGGAAAAAAGCTCTTAGAGGAAATTCACAACTTCTTTCGTACTTCGGTTGGGTTGGAATCATACACAAATCAGCTTACTTACAGAAGTTCCCAACCCATCCTCCATGAAGGACATGCGACCAATCATCTTTGTTCAGTACAGTTTAAAATAATTTCGAAGATACTTTCTGAAAGATTGAAGCCTGTGCTATCTACGGTTATATCAGACACGCAAGGAGCCTTCATGAGTACTGGTCGTCTGCTTACGGATAATGTGATAGTAGCTCATGAGATGGTTCATGGCCTTCATACAACAAGCTCTATTTCATCAGATCTTATGGCAGTCAAAACTGACATGTCAAAAGCCTATGATCGCGTAGTGTGGATCTTTGTGGAGACTTTATTAGAAAAGATGGGGTCTGCCGGGGTTTGGATCAATTGGGTGATGTCCTGCATTTCTACTGTGTCCTATACGATCCTCATGAATGGAAGACAACATGGTTTTATCAGACCTGAACGTGGCATCCGCCAGGGAGACCCATTGTCACTGTTTCTCTTTATTCTATGCGCAGAAGCCCTAGTCAACAAGCTGAATCTCCCGGCGTCTCAGAGGAAGCTCCAAGGGATTTTTCTGGGTTCGGGCGGTCCAATAGTGCATCATCTGTTCGATGATGATAGCTTGATGCTCTGTAGTGCAAATCGTGCTGATAGTATGGAGCTTAATAATTGCTTAAAGCTCTATAGGCCTCAGATCAGATTATAAATCTGCAGAAATTATCCATTATTTTTGGCTCTCAAGTAAGTGATGAAGCAAAATTGGAAGTGAAAGAAGTGTTAGGTTTAGAGAAAGAAGGTGGGGAAGGAACCTATCCAGTGGCAGATGTAGGATTATACTTTATTGGGGTCATACAACAAAAAAAATAATATATATATATATATATATAAAACAAATAAAAATAAATTCAAAATATAAATTATAATTAAGTAAATTTTATCTAAATTATTATTAAATTATTTCTATATTTTATTTATTGTTGATAAAATACTTTTTAATTTAATAAGATATAAACTAAATAATTTGGAAGTCCATAAATTTGTTTAAAATG